AAAAAAAAAAAAAAAAAAAACCCAGGAGTTTGAGACCAGCCTGGGCAACACAGTGAGACCCTATCTCTAAAAAAAAAAAAAAAAATTTCTTAAAGTTAGCAGAGTGTGGTGGTGTGTGCCTGTAGTCCCAGTTACTTGGGAGACTGAGGTAGGAGGATTGTTTGAGTCCAGGAGTTCAAGGCTGCAGTGAGCTATAATCGTGTCACTGTACTCCAGCCTGAGTGACAGAGCAAGACTCAGTCACTAAAAAAAAATGCTACTAGTTCACCCCACTAAGAAAGATCAAGCAAAGGAAATCGACCTACAGCCAACTGCCCATGACCCCACTAATCCCAAAGCACAGATGAGCAGGCAGCAGCCATCACCGGGAGCTCAGGCCCCAAGACAGGGACAAACCGACAGCAGCAAACTGCCAAAGAAAAGCAAATAAATGAGATGATAAATTGGACAGTCTCAAGCTGTTCCAACTATTGCACTAAATGCAAAAATATCAAACCAAAGATGATTTTTAAATAATTATAGTTATCGAGGGTGCTAATTAAATATAAACATGCTGTTCAATTATCCTAATGGTAACAATAATTGCACAAAAGTTTATAAAAAGGAAACATTATTCATTATAGTGTCTGGATATCCTTGATCCCAGAAATATGAGAAAAGGGTCCTCATTTCAAATGGATTTCTTAAAGGTTTTCAGTCAACTGGGATACAGAGACTAGTCCAGCCCATTAAGATTGAAAATATAAAGCTTTTATTTTTTCTAGAAAGTTCAAAATGCAATTACCTGAGAGACTGTGCCACTATGTTTTCACATATTGTCAGACAATGATTCACACGGTCTTTCTTGGTGGCTGAAAGTTCTTTCTTTCTAAAAATAAAAAAGGAGAAGGAAAGAAAATGAGCATGTGTTGAATTATCCAACTTCTACACATCATTCATCCATTCGATTAGTACTTTCTGAGTACTCTGAATAAACCATTGCACTCATGCTGGGGACAGGGCTGGGATCAGGACAGGGAGGCAGAGAGGAGCTAAACCACAGGCTTTCTGACTACACTGTTCCACAGAAGAATCAAGTGATGTCACTAAAGCAGCTTATTTTTCTCCTTTAGAGAGAAGAAACTAAAGTGCCAACAGTGACCTGCCCAAGATCTCACAGACAAAAAGTAACACAGCCAGCATTTAAACCTAGGTCCTCTGGCTTTAAATCTACCTGGTATTTCAACAATTCACATTCGATTTCACATTTTTTTCACATGTTAACATCACTGAAACTGGAATGCATCTTACAACCAATGGCATGTCATAGTTTAATTAGCAACTTTTTTTCTTTCTCAGCAGTACAGAAGATGATAGCATGGATTACAATGGATGGGAAATCCAATTCAATACAACACAATAATATAATATCTACTCTAAATGCCAAGCTGCCACTATTTCTCAAAATCACATTGTTAATTGACTGTAGTTAACACACCATATTGACCTCGATAAGGCATAAACAATACCATACCATACAGACCTCAATAAGGCATAAACAAAAATAAACAAACCGTTTCTATATCCCCAAACAGCTGGGAATAAACCTATTAAGATTTCTCCGCCAGGCACAGTGGCTCACACCTTTAATCCCAGCACTTTGGGAGGCCCAGGCAGGATGATTGCTTGAGACCAGGAGGTCTTGCCTGAGCAACAGTAAGACCCCCATCTCTACAAAAAACAGAAAAACCAGCTGGGCGTGGTGGTGTGCACCTGCAGTCCCAGCTACTCAGGAGGCTGAGGCAGGAGGGTCACTTGAGCCCAGGAGTTTGAGGTTGCAGTGAGCTATGATGATGCCACTGCACTCCAACCAGGTTGACAGAGCAAGACTCTGTCTCAAAAAAAAAAAAAAATAGAATTGGAAGCAGGGTGAATAAGTTCAAAAACACCCCTACTAGTCCGTGTGCAGTGGCTCACACCTGTAATCCCAGCACTTGGGGAGGCCGAGGTGGAAGTTCCAGACCAGCCTGGGCAATACAGCGAGACCCCGGCTCTAAAAAAAATTTTTAAAATTTGCCAGGCATGGTGGCACACACCTGTAGTCCTAGCTACTCAGGTGGCTGAGGCAAGAGGATCACTTGAGCCCAGGTGTTCAAGGCTGCAATGAGCTAGGATCACACCACTGCACTCCAGCCTGGACAACAGAGAGAGACCCTATCTCACAAAAAAAAAAAAAAAAGAAGAAGAAGAAGAAAAAAAGATTTCTCAGCCCAGCAGAAGGGCATAAACAGCCTAGTGAAGATCAGACTAAAGGTGCCTCCTTCCCACCAAAATCTGTGGCTTCAGATGTTTTCAAGCGTGGCCCTATCAAAATAAAGTAGAGAAAGATGATCTAAAACACGGTACTAACTAGAAACAACTAAACCAAAAGACTAAAGTTTTTGAGGTAATCCTATTACCAAAGAAACAAAAAATCTAGACTACAAATACCTGTGACTATTTAATCCCTAATGCAATCCTCGGGCTCCTAAAAGTGCACTCGAAGGCATAGGCTATTAAAATTGTGCAAATCCACTGAGGGCATACCCTCCCCAAAAGGCACCTCAGATGTGGCCAGGAAGAAAACAGGCAAGAAGACCCTGCAAAGGGTGGAGTCAAGAGTTGAGCATAGACAGGCGTTCCAATCAGAGAAAAGAACCAGGCCTGAATGAGAAGCCTATACCATGGCAAACGGTGGGGAGGGGGCTTCCCAAATGCTGCCCAGTAAAGAGTCTATTATTACTATGGACCACTGAATGTTTCCCATTCATTTGTTTCCTAAAAGGGACTTATTCTGACATGTTCTATTTCAGACTGCTAATCATTCACCAAAACTCCATTCTTTGCTTCTTGGATACCTGGCCTTCCAGTTAGAAGTTACAATGCCTAGCCTCCTTGTAGCTAGCTATAGACACACATGACTTAGTTCTCACAGATGACATGGGAACAATATGGAACTTCTGCCTCATTTGCTTGCCCTGGGTATCTCCCCTTTTACTTCCTTCCAATTGGAATAAACATGCCTAACATCCAGATTTTGATTATACAGATGAAGAAAATAAGAAGACAGCAGAGCAACAAGATGGAAGGATCAGGGGTCCCTAAATGATCTAAGAAGCACCGACCCCCAGACCTACCATCCTCAAGAGCCACTCATTTCAAAAGTGCTATGATGGAAACAACCCAAAGGTCCTTCACCTGGTTGATGATAAACAAAGTACTATAGCCAGACAACACAGTACCACGTGGCAGTGAAGAAGGAACAAGCCACCGACAACAGACACAAGGATGATCCCAATGCACTGTGTTTGGGGAAGTAAGACTCAAAATACTACCCTGGATAATGCCATTTATACAACACTCTGGAACAGACAAAACTGCAAGAACGGAAAACTAGCACGTAATTTCCAGAGGCAGGAAGTGGGGGCAGTTGACAGTAAAAAGGTATGGGAAATTTTGGGGGGTGATAGAACTGCTGTAAATCTTGATTTATGTATTTGTTAGAACTCACAGAACTGTACACTAACAAGGGTACATTTTGCTATGTGTAAATTATATCTCAATTTAAAAACAGGAAGTGCAATGAGAATGAAAATGCTCTCCTCTTTAAACCACTATATTAAAGTCTCTGTTACAGCAGTGTAGATTTTAACAAGTTTAAGATAGCCACTAAGGAATTAAAGAACACTGACCATTTTAGGAAGCGAACTAATTGACCTGCCTACTACCCTTTGATTTCCAAAGTGAAAATCTGTTCAAGTCCTTAAATGAACTGAATTTATACATGCAGTCTCCTAGCCATACAGGCAGTAGCCCCTTAATGTTACAGTCTGTTAAACTCGTATCTAAAAAAACTCCAGAGCAGGAGTGCTAAAGAAAAACAGGTTGACAAACACTCAACTAAGTGGACCTCACAACTTAATGATGGTCAGATAGAAATATTCATGATCTGACATTTTCAGCAATGTCAGAATCTAAGCAGAACCTTCATGACTGTGGAGTCTGCCTCCAGATGATTCCCAGGGTCCTTCAGACTGTTACAAGAGTTTATGGGGCCAGGCGCGGTGGCTCACGCCTGTAATCCTAGCACTCTGGGAGGCCGAGACGGGTGGATCGTTCAAGGTCAGGAGTTCCAGACCAGCCTGAGCAAGAGTGAGACCCCGTCTCTAGTAAAAATAGAAAGAAATTATCTGGACAACTAAAAATATATATATAGAAAAAATAGCGGGCATGGTGGCACATGCCTGTAGTCCCAGCTACTCGGGAGGCTGAGGCAGGAGGTTGCTGTGAGCTAGGCTGACGCCACAGCACTCTAGCCAGAGCAACAGAGCCAGACTCTGTCTCAAAAAAAAAAAAAAAAAAAAGAGTTTATGGGTGGGGCATGGTGACTCATGCCTATAATCTCAGCACTTTGGGAGGCCTTGAGGCCAGAAGTTCAAGACCAGCCTGGGCAACATAGTAAGACCCCTATCTCTACAAAAAATTAAAACCAAAAAAATTAGCCAGGCATTGTGACACACACCTGTAGTCCTAGCTACCCAAGAGGCTAAGGCAGGAGGATCACTTGAACCCAGGAGTTTGAGGGTACAGTGACCCGTGACTGCACCACTGCACTCTAGCGTGGGTGACAGAGCATGACCCTGTCTCTTAAAAAAATAAAATAGTTTATAAGGCATAAAATGCTCCCTGGATAACAAGATAGCCTCAATAGCCTCTTGCATTGATACAAGTAGCACATCAATCTACCAATTATCTGTGCCAATTATCTCTGTGGTTAAAAATTAAAAAGTAGAATTCCAATGGGCATATCACTCAGTAGAGCCATCAGGGGTACCAAGAAAGAGTAAAAAAAAAAAAAAAAAATCAGCAGCTTCACAGTAATTACCCACATGCCTGATAAAGAACTGGCTAGACCCACGGAACATTTATCTATCTTCTCAGAAGTGATAGATACAAATGAATTTTAAAAACATTTGTCGCTCTCCTCATATATGAGATAAACCAAAAGAATACAGTTAGCAATAAATAATATGGCATCAGTTCTCAAGGCCTGCCACCTTGGACTTACTTCACAAGACTTAGTCAAAGTTGCTCCAACTGTAAGTGTTAAAGACGTATATCGATCTCACCCAACAAAGTAAAACGTTATTCTGTTGTCTGTTTCGGTCTAGCTTCTCCTCTGAGCACCTTGGGGGAAGCCTGTCTTATTCACCAATGATGGCCTTTCTCTGGGCCTGCCAGCATCTCCACTGCACACACCCTTTGACAACAGCTACTTCAGTTACTTCCCCAGGGACAACAGGCAACCTAGAGCAAGGACCACATCGCGTCTCTAGCACTAGAATTTAACACAACACCCACACTTCACAGGTGTTCCACAAAGAGCCCAGCAAGGAGAATAGACTAAATACACAAACTGACTCAAAAGTTCTTGAATCAGTCTTGTAGGAATCAGAAGATTAACAATAAAGATCCCTTACTTTAAACTTGAGTTTCTAAAACCAAGAGAGATGAAAGAAAAGTAGAAACAGTAAAGCTTATAAAACAAAGCAACTGTGAAGCAACCCAAACGTACTTAAACTCAAATTCTATGGACTGAGTAGTCCCTCTGACTGTGATTAAGACAATCAATCCCAAACCCTGTGTTTCAAACCTTCAATGACTCTTACTATCAAGACTGTACTATCATGGCTGGGCACAGTGGCTCACGCCTGTAATCCTGGCACTCTGGGAGGCCGAGGCGGGAGGATTGCTTGAGTTCAGGAGTTCAAGACCAGCCTGGGCAAGAACGAGACCTGTCTCTACTAAAAATAGAAAAACTAGCCAGGCATCGTGGCACGCATCTGTAGT